AACTGTTGGGATCAGTTTGAACAGCTTCTTTGACAGCAGTTAATAGAGCCTCACGTTGATTAGGAATAGAGGGACTAGCTGACACCACTCTACTAACTGCTTCTTGTGTTAACATACGTTCACCATAAAGTAACCAAGCAATACTAACAGAATCACAAAGAGACTGAGACAGGACAGTATGACGATTATTAAAAATATTAATAAGAACCTGATGTTCTATGATAGAAAATACAATGGTTATAGTTACATACAGTTATGGTTGACTCACTTAACTTCTCAGCTACAGCAGTTTCATTCATAGATCCTAGAGCATCTGACAGTGAGTCCAAGTTGGCTCCTCCTCTACTGTCAACATTATCAGCTCTACGTAGCCATTGGGAAAGACACTCTGTCAAGCAGTGATTCACATCACCATGATACTTTGCTTCAATGGCTTCCAGTGTATCTTTCAGTAGACCTAGTCTCAGTCCCAGCTCTTGCCACTTTGTCCTTTGAAAGCTACATTTCTTCAATAAGTCAAGAACATCAATCAAGTCACCAATATCTAAAGGTAAATATCAAAAGAGTGGATTTAAATCTAAAAATGTACATAGACAAATTCGACTAGAGGCCATCTCTGTAGTTTTCTTTTAAATGGGTGGGGCTAAAATATTTTTGGAATTGGGGAAACCCTGGAATGCAATGCTGTAAATTACATCTATGATTACACCACTCTGTCCATGATGAGTAGTGCTCATGGACTTCTGCAGCTACATATTACCTGCACTACTGCAAAACTAATAAGACATTGGTTGGCAGGATAAATAGTTACGTGTACAAGTACTTATTATTTTGTTCTTTTTTACACTGATACAGTGATAAATTCAAAAGAGTGTTTGCCAAGACCTATAAATGGTCACCAACTAGAGACACTGAAGTGAGGGAGAAAGTGGAAAATGAACTGTTTGAATTATGAAAGAACTGATGATGTATGGTCTTAGTGTGTTTATATTAATTATTATCTATTTATGAGTGAAATTCAATCTCTTACCCTCTCCCCCTCTCTCTCTCTCTTTTGACTCACTGTTCCTACAATTAATGTATTTCTTTGTAATATAATTAATATAAGAATGACAGCTACTCTGTAAAAATTAGATTGCTAGAAAAATTACACTAAATTAAATAAAGTGCATTTACTGTACATGCATGTAACCAACTCTTACAACATGTCATCAAGTAAATTTGGTGGGATTGCAATACAAAAATAATGTGACACCTAAAACTCAGTCATAATCAATATCTTCGTCTATATGCTGTGCTTTAATTTCCTTTATCCTCTTTAACCTAGAATACAATAAAATGAGTACATTAATCTTAAGTTTGCAATTAAATTCTATAAAAGCTGATCACAAGATTTGTAATCAATAATTTTGCTTAGTGAAAATGAATAAAAGAGAAATGGTTTAATTAACAAACCTATACTTACATCAAACTATATTAATTATACTATATAATATATATACACATTAACTGATAGTAGATGTACATGATGATACATGAGGTTTACTGACCTTGCTTCCTCTGCCTCTTGTATTTCTGATCTCTCTTTATCTGTTAGCTTCTTCATTTTCTCTCTTTTGTCTCTAAATAATTATAAACAGTAAGAGGTGTATGTAAGTGTGTGTGTATACATAATGTGTGTGTGTGTTCATTAGTACTTGTAATATAGGACATATCCATCATATAGTCTTAATGGGTATCTGTCTGAAGTGATGGAATACCAGTTCAGCTTTTTCTCAATATCAAGACATGATATCTCAACTGGAAATGATAGTCCCTAACAGAATCAGAGAGAATATTAAATAGTGTATGCTTCAATGACTAACCTCTGAATAATAGATATACTCAGCGGGAACTCCACTTAACTTTGACAGCTGTAAAAACAAAATGATACAGTACATGTGTTTATTCTATAGAAGCCGACCATAAAGATCAAAAGTACCACGCATGGTTATAGTGGATATTCAATGAATATCTTAGGGGCAGCCAGATATCCAATGAATATCCACTATCAACCATGCTTGGTGCCATTGTTCTGTATGGCTTCTGAATAAACCAGTTATGACACCCTACTGTCGGCTTTATCTGATATATACACTCAAACTATAATTATCAATATAGTTTGAGTGTATATATCAGATAAAGCCTCCAGTAGGGTGTAATAACTAATACATATTGTCAATGTTATACTGATAGTGCAAAATTTTCGAGGGTTGTAAATTTCGCAGAGTTTGCAATTTTTTGAAGATTTGCAAAAATCAAATTTTTAGGGTACAATTAAGATAGCAGATGGTATAAATTCGCGAAAATTAAATCCGCAAATAGATTTTTAGGCAAATTCACAAAATTTACAGCCCTCAT